GGGCCGCCCCCTGCTGCGGCACCGCCCCTCGTGGCCCTGGCATACGCCTCCCACAGCTGCTTTACTTTCAGGCGCACCTGCTCCTGGGTGTGCCTGTGTCCCTTTCGGGCCATGGCAGCTGCTATGCGGCCGTAGACAGCTGCCTTCCTCCTAGTGCGGAGATCATGGACGTTGGGGGCCTGCCCCCAAACCTCAATGAGGTCCATGACCTCCGCACTAGTCCAGGAGGGTGCGCGCCGTCTACAGCCCCTGGATGGCCCCTGGGTGCTGGGGGACTGCGCAGGGGACGGCTCGCTGGCACTGGCTCCCTGGCTCATCCTGGGGCCACTGGTTCGGGGCACAGACTGCTGGCAGGGCTGGCTGTGTCAAGTGCCATCTGGCCACAGTCTACCCCTTTAAGGGCCCGGGGCTGGGGGAGAGGAGAGGAGTTTTCCTGGTTGTGCCCAGAGTGGCCACCAGGGGAACCTGGGAAGGGCTAGCCTCCCACTAGTTCGAATTAAATGGCTACACAGCCCTTAATTCGGACTAGTTAATTCGAACTAGGCATTAGTCCTCGTAGAATGAGGTTTACCTAGTTTGAATTAAGCGCTCCGCTAGTTCGAATTAAGTTCAAACTAGCGGATCACGTGTGTAGCACCTATCAAAGTTAATTTGACCTAACAGCTGTTAGTTCGAATTAACTTTGTAGTGTAGACATACCCATATGTCCATAATAATGGCATTATATATATTTATTTTTGGAATAACATAGCTTTTCATTTCATTGGATTTTAGAAAATGTCATGTTTGTATCTGGAAAAAGTCATTAAGGGTCTTAGCCCTCCATTCATTGCTCATGTCATACAAGTCAGTGGCAATTTTGATCAAAATTTCAAAGTCTGGGTGCCTATAACAAGGAATGTAAATCTATACTTAGGCATCAAATAATTTTCCTGATTTATAGGAGAGCTAAGTATCACTGAATACTGTGGGAATACTGTGTGCTCAAACCAGATCAGTAGCACATGCCTAACACTAGGCATCGAAGTTTGAAAACTTTGGTCTTTTGAGTGCATGAGATATATAGGATCAGGTCTGAATTGTCAAGCTATATAATATACTCTCATTGTATATTCTATTGTACACCCAAACAGTTCCATGATCGACATTTATGAATATGATTGAATAAATCATGCTACTTACATCAGAATAAATTCGCGTTCCAATTACACGAGCATAGTGTGGGTTTGCCTGCAAACAATTGCGAGGACAATACACTCTGAAAATTGAACACAAACATACATTTTAAGATTGTATTGTAATATTGTAGTTACAATGTGACATTTCACTAAAGTGAGCTACAGGAATTTGACAGTGTCAATAAATTCAGTGTATAAATGTAAGGTGTTCATACGGATATTAGACCTATTGACTAACATTCATGCTGTCGACTAAAAAGTCCTCAGCAAGAGTGAATGGTGGAAATTTCAGTGGGTCTGGGCTTTTCTGGCAAAGACGACCTAAAAGGCACTTCTGGACAATTGTTGCCTTTGTGCTGAGGAACTTTTACAGGTTTCCTTCCTCAAAATATTGAGGCATAAACTTCTCTTGATGTGTGAAAATGTTGGCTTCAAAGAAATAGCCTAGACATGTTGCTGAAATCTATAACATTTACTTATAAACAAAATATTCACCATGCCCTACTTTACCAAAGTATTAATATTTATTTGCAAACAAATATTTCCCTGACCTACTATCCTCCAAACTCTCCACTCCTGAACCAAACTACACAGTGCTATGTCAGACAGACCCTTATATGATATCTATTTGGAGTACCATAAGGATCTGCTTGGTACCCTCTTATATTCAGTGTCTGTGCAAGACTGTTAGGAAGGTGGGTAAAACCAACATGAGCTAAATAATTTTCTCTGCGCTGATGACAGCCATCTCCACCCGCATCCAGTCCAGACAGAACAATCAAATGCCTTTCCCTGTGCCTCAGCACCTCTGGTACATGGGTAAACATGAGCTGGATGAAGTTTTGTCCTGAGAATACTGAGGTGAAGTGGGGATTGCAGGAATGATGCACAAAACCTGGAAGTTTCTCTGACATCTGTGACCAAAGGTTGTGATGTGGGGACGTGGTTGGATTCCTAGCTACTTCTGGTGGTCATATTGCAAGTTAACAACAGTGCCCAAGACTATGTTTCTTCAATCTGTGGCTGGTCAATCTTTCCTCTTCAAGGTATACATTGTGATAAATACCTGTGTCACTACTAGACTGGAGTACTGCAATGTGCCTTAAATGCATTTAAAAGCAGAACCTAGTGTAGAAGGTGGCAGCTTACTTACTAATCAGTCTCTACTAGTGGGAACACATTACACCAGTGCTGCAGGATCTACTCTGGTTGGGAGTTGACTTTCAGGTGGCGTCTAAGATGTTGGTCTGATCAATAAAGCCCAAATGACTTGGAACTATTTTACCTCATGGACTACCTCTCACCCTGTGCCATACTGCCTTAGTTGAGAGCAGAGGGGGGATTCAAACTGAATCTCCTCAGTAGGAAATGACAGGAGATTATGGCAGAGGATTCCTTGTGAAGGCCTCTTATATTTGCCATGTTGTCTACACTCTGATCTTAACTATTCTGTGGGCTGGCTACAAAGTCTATCCATTCCAAGGAGTTCTGGAGACAAGCTGATGCAACTCAAGATACAATTTTTGAGAGAAGTGAGTGGAATGTGCGATAAAAGTTTTCATCCACAATAAGTCTGCTGACCTATGATTAGTATATCAGTTGTGGTTAGGTGACCACAGAGGAGAAGTGCAGTTGTCACAATTTATTGCTGCTTGTAACTCGCTGGGTTGTGTTTTTTACATTTGTGACCAGGGCATGCAGTGTTGAAGGGGACTTTGCTTTGGAGTTTTAAAAACTGATCTGTTACTCTTTGATTTCAGTTTTTTATTTTTAAATGTTTTCCTAAAAATAGCTTCTATTTTTCCCCTTCAGAAAGTGTTATATTGTGTGTGACAAGAGAAAAGATTAAGATGTGTATAAGGAAGGGATCTGCTCCATCCATTCTTGCATATCAGTATTTTACTTATTTCCACACTTTATCCAGAAAGAGTATGCAGCCATAGACAAACACCACATGAATCTAAGGTCTAAAATACTACATTATGTAATGTTTTCTTAGCAGTTCTGACTTGTATTTGCTTCCTCTATTGACTGTCGTACACCTATAAAACTACTCCTGTAGGTATATCCACGCTTGAGGTAATTCATGCTTCACTGTATTTACCCCTGACTCATCTATGGTTTTAAGAACTGCTAAGGTTCCTTTCCTCAAAATATTGAAGCACAATCTTCTTTCAAAGAGTGACAATGTTGGTTTCAGATACACATGGACAGTTTATACATTTTGCTAAATCTATAAATTGGCATATAAACAAGATTCTAACCATGGCCAACTTTGCCATTCTATTAATATTTCTCTGCACATACAAATATTTTCCTGACCTTCTATTCTCCAAAAAAATCCAACCAAACAAATAACACCTAAAATACAGAGCTGCGTCAGATCCTTTCATGGTATCTATTTACAGAGGAATAAACTGAGGTTCACAGATGTCCAAGGTACACAGCGAGTCAGTAGTATAGAATAGACTATATATATATATATATCTTCTTACAGTCTCTTGGTCTAACCACTAGACCACACTTTTCAAGGTGTAAGAAGACCCGTGTGCTATAGAAAGTTTAAAAGACTCTTTATTTGAAATAAATAGAAGTATATAGATCCTCCTCTCCTCAGAATGTATTGACTAGCTGACAGTGATCTTAAACCAGGGACTGAAAAGAAAAGTAAAACATTTGTGGTCAGATTTTCAAAGATGCTGACTTCCTACGGCTCCCACTAACATCAATAATGATTGTGGGTGCTCAAAATCTATGACAAAAAAGACTATTTCTTTGTGCTTTGATAGGACAGAAAGATTCAAGATCCTTACCTTGGACAGTGTGAGGCTGGTTTTTGAAATGGGCATAACTGTTCCACTGTTGTTTCACAGGTGATAGCTTGAACTGAAGAAAAAAAACTGAAACTTATAAATATAAGTCCAAACAAAATACAATCCAATGTATGTTGAAGATAATATATAAAAAAATGCTAACCTGTTACTTTGGAGACTGTGAAGGAATTAGCAGATTGATATTTGCTAACAGAAAAAAGGAAATAAAAGAGTCAACAAACTTTTTTTTATTTGATTTCCAAAAGCACTAGACTGATTATGCTTCATTGGAGCCTGCTAGTTCAGACCTCAAGCATGGAGTCCCAATAACTGTGATCACTGCATTTATTATAGTCACAGTGAAACTCAGCATGAAAAACAGTGCTTCCCACAAACATGTGTTAAGCACTGGATTTCCCACATAGCAAATGAAGTTATTGACAAAGAGAACAAATACAATTACAGCAATCACAATAAGAGGTTCCATGAGTCTGTTTTAGACGGAAGTGCCAATCAGCAGAAGCATTCACAGTCCATTTCCTCCAGCCCCAAAGAGCCTGCGGTGGGCCCAGCTCAGGCTGCTCCAGCCAGCCAGAGCAGCTTTTGCTCCCCTCACCACCACCTTCCCTTTAAATCAGTTAACTAGTTAAACACTAAGGCTGTGTCCAGACTCCATGCCTCCTTCGACGGAGGCATGTAGATTAGCCACATCGGAAGGGGGAAATGAAGCCGCGATTAAAATAATCGCGGCTTCATTTAAATTTAAATGGCTGCCCCGATCTGCCGATCAGCTGTTTGTCGGCAGATCGGG